GTCTTGTCTCTGTCTCGATACACTCTGGTCTTGGTCTTGTCTTGGTCTCGGGTTAGGTGGTCTTGACCACAACACTGCCACTAGCAAGACACTTTCTGGACGGGCTGCAGAGAGTTGCGTTAAACTACTACGCCAAGTCTTTGACTATAGAGACTGTTGTGTTCAACTGTCAGATGAAGAGGATGTTTATTGTTGTCCATAATGTTCCTCACTTTGTAAAAAGTTGTTCTTTGTGAGCTCATCTCCAGGTGTTCTAGAGGAGTTGAGCTTTATTGTTTTTGGAGTGTGGTAGGAAGACTTTACCCACAGAAAATCCGCTCAACACAGGGAGAAAATGTGAACTCTATGCTTATACTGCTGGAAGACTTAGGGTACACTTTTTACCATTCTGTGTCATTCTATCTCTATTCTCCAAGTCTACAGTATTTGTTAGTTCAATCTCTAACTTTATGCTCTCAGTGCTTTATATCATGCAAGCTTCATCTGGTCTGTTCCTGGTTGGCTGTGACTCCATCCTGGAGAGAAATATCAGCTGTGCTGCTGCCATCAACATCATTGTTTATAGATGTTGGAGCTTGGCCTGTTTTTCAGTGTAGTCCTGTTTCTCTTATTGTGACTAAATTTCAAAAAAAAAAAAAACATTTTATAAAATCTTTGCTTCTGTCTCTTTGAACCCCAGTCGGCCTCGGCAGAACCACACTGAGTCAGGTTCTGCTGGAAGTTTTTTCCTATGCTGAGTTTTCCTCTCCACTGTCGCTACATTCAAGCTTGGTGTGAGGGATTGCTTTCAAATAAATGAGTCAATGATCAGCTGGTTTTCCCTAGATCGAAAACTGGATGATCTGGTTGAATTGTAAAGTACTTTGAAATGATAAGTGTTGTAATTTGGCGCTATATAAATAAACTGAATTGTATTGAATTGAATGGGTTTATTCTAAAATTCAGTAGGAACAATATGGTGAGACTTTAACATTACAGTACAGGAGTCACAATTGAGATTTAAAGGAGATACCTTGCAATACTTACAATTACACATTGGCTTCAGCTTGCTGACAGAAGCAAAGCCGACAGGCCCTCTGACTTCCAGCAGTTCTCCTCATTGAGCAGCAAGAGTTGAAACCGTAATCGTCCATTTGCAGGGTAAACTCCTGCATCCGACGCCACTGTCACCCAACCGAGTTTCAACGATAGAAAAAGCTGGATATGTAAATGGAAAGAACCTCCACTTTGGTGGTCAAAACTTGTCCAAAAATGGACATATTTCTTTATAGCAGGTCATTAATAATGCATTAAATTATTCTTTATGTCAGATCTTCTTTTGCTATATAATCCTTCATTATGGTCACGACTAAATATTTTACTTCTTGTTTTCCATATTACAATCCCATATAAGGTGCTCTATTGATAATTGTGTGTTGAAAATAACATTTTAAATATAATCTAGAGGCCTTATAAAACCTTTTCAACCTGTTGGTTTTTAAAGTGCTATATAAATAAAGTTTGATTGGATTGGATTATCAGCTTTCAGTCACTTGGAACTAGCTTTTCATAACCCACTAGGAACCCCAATATAGAACCCTATTAAGAGAAGGCTGGATAGAAATCAAGAATGAGATGAGAAAATTGATAAGAGGATGTGGGTAATGGGATGAAGAGCATAAAAGAGATGTGAGCTTAGATTGAGCTGAGGGTGAGGAAGGGTGGGGTGAAAAGATGCGGGGTCATCAGCGTACTTTGTCCTAGAAATGCTCTCTGATGTATCTCCTTGCTGAATGTCAGTAATTATTTTAGCTCTCTATTGCTTCTGCAAAGAGTTGATGACAATATTGCTCCACTCAAGATGCATCCACCCACAGAACTGTTTCATTACTGGTCTCAGAAATGATCATGAATCCACTCTCAGGGATCCAGTTTACCTCTACTGACCTGGATTAGTGACAAACCAAAGATGCTGTTTCAATTCCAGGATGAGGTGTAGATCTATAACAAAGCAGTATTTTTCTTTGCCTTTCCTGCAGCACTGCATCAAGAGGGTCTGTTCAGAGTAAACGGGAACGTTCGGGCGGTGGAGACCCTGAGGCTACGACTGGAGAACGGGGACGATGTTGACCTGCTCTCTGAGTCGGATCTGTGCACCGTGTCCAGTCTGCTCAAACGCTACTTCAGAGATCTGCCTGAAGGCCTGGTGAACTCCACGGTGCAGCAGAAACTTATACAGCACTACGAGGGTAAAACATTAACTCCTGCTCTCACCTTTATCTTATCTGTCACGAACAATCCAACCAACAGAGTTTTAGGATTTTACAGCATGCATTGCCAGACTCAGAAGTGAAATGGAGAAATATGAAAATCTGGGTCATAGATGCAGATAAACATTCAGTCTTCTCCAATAAGCAGAGCTAATCAGGGCACCAGTTTGAATCTGAGTGTATGAGGGTATTGGCCACTGCAGTCATGGATCTCAGGGCAGGCCTGACCTTTAAAGAGTGTTCTTTGGCAGAGATAGCCTGACCTGCCTTCCAGCTCCAGCTCTACAGTTATATGATGGCAGCGGATCAGACCGTTTGGCTAAAGTGTTTGTTTTGCTTATATGACCACATAAGTTTCTATGTTGTTTTCAGATGTTTCCTTAGAGTACTGTTTTGATTAGCTGTGAGAACAAATCTCTCTGATGGATTCAATGAAACTGATTTTGGCCTTTTTAGTCTTGTTTTTCTGCTTTATCACAGTTTGACAAATAGAAATAGGTTTCAATACTATAATTCCCCAAAAGCTGTTAGCTCATAACCTGGTATATGGTAGATTGGTGGTTGGCAGTTTTAAATCCTGCTATCCTAAAACTTTCCCACCCCTTCTCCAACATGCTTCTTCATACTTCTGCAGACCTAACTGATCACCTCTATGATGAGGGAAGTCAGTACTTTGATCCTGGTGTGCTGGTGCACCGATTCATCCCTAGAGGACTGGACTTTGGCACCTCTGCAGTAGATGATTACCCAATCATTGATAGACACCTTTGGTTACATTTTGCTGGATATTTATTTAATAGTCGAAGCTGTGATTCTTTTGTGTTAAAGAGGGTAGGGATTTGGGCCCAACACCTTTGTAATTATAATACCACACTGTTATGTTATCCAGCTCCGTGTGGATACAGGCTATTAGGCAATGCATCCAACACCCTCCTGTGTCCCACTTTTTTACCCAGAGTTCTCCTAAAACCAGTGCATAGGGCCATTATCGGGTGGACATTTCTCCCTCACTGTTTAGCCCATCTTCTACCCATATGAGCCACATATGTAAATCCAGAGAATCTTAAATGGTCATAAAATGGGTGGAGAAAATAATAAAAAGCTTTTATTCATAAAGCTAAACATTACAAATATATCTGGGATAATCTGGGCAGGGTAAATGTTGACAGTGGCTTTCTGTAAACACTTAAAACCTCCATCAGTATTATGGATGGGCCTTATATAAATCCTTTTTCTGGGCCAGGATGCCATACTTGATGGACGGACAGAAAACGGACAGATGGATTGTTCGACGTCTGGATGAATAATGGATGGACAGATTAATGGATGGATGGATGGATGGATGGATGGATGGATGGATGGATGGACGGACAGACGGACGGATGGACGGACGGATGGACGGACGGATGGATGGATGGACGGACGGATGGATGGACGGACGGACGGACGGACGGACGGACGGATGGATGGATGGATGGATGGATGGACGGGTGGATGGACGGATCGATTGATGAATTTTCAGGCTTAGCTTCTCAGCTTCTTTGTAAATCCCTGTGCTCTTTTTTCAAGCACCAGAACTTCAGAAGTTGAAAACATGCATAATGTCTCAGCAGTCTCTCCTCAAACATTCTTGCAGTAAGCTCTTACTACTGCCTCCCTCCCCCATTAGAAAGACTCTCAACTGTGTAAAACTGTAGACTTACAATTGGAAGGCAATGTTCCCCTCTGTTCCTCTACATACTTACACAGAGGTACTCATATTGTTACGCATGCATGCACAGAAGCAGAGGGCCATTCACAACATTTGCGTCACTCAGTCATATCCGTTTAGCCAACTCTGACCCAATTAATTACCCCAAGTAAGACTCTCAACATATTTTCAGGCTTTTCCTGTAATGCTCTTCCAAGTCACCACAACCAAAGATTATTATTAAAAATGACCAATTTCTATTTGAGTTTGGGATCGTTTTGCTGCAGGAACACTGCTGGGACTGTGTTCACGTTTAATTCAATGAACCCAAACCTTCCCAGAAAGCAGATAGGCCCAATGCTGAAAATGTCAAAGAGATGGAGAAACGGGGTACCTTTCCACTTATGCCAGTACTTGTATTGGCTTTTTAAGCCATATTCATCTCTACACCTGCTCCTCAACAGGGAGGAAAATGTGGGGATGGAAACGGTGGGGTAGAATAGAGCCAGGCCAAGTGGATCTAGTGGAAAAGGGGCAAAAGTTGTTTATCTTACATCAGTGGGGTCTTGACCTGGCTGGAAAAAGTGCATTGTTAGGAACTTACTGTAAGGGAACCATTAGATATCTGATATAAAAAGGAGCTTGGCCATTTAAGGCTTTATATGTCAGGATTTTGGATCTGTTCTAAATGTAACAGGAAGCCAATGCAGAGAAGTTAGGATATGAGAGAGATGATCTCTCTTTTTAATTTTCATCAGAAGTCTGATTGCACCATTTTTGATTAGATCACTTTAATTTGTGGACTTCCTGAAAGTAAAGAATTACAATAGTCTTGCCTTGAACTAACAAATGCATGGACTAGTTTCTCAGCATCACCCCTCGACAGGATATTTTCAATATTTGCAATATTCTGCAGATGAAATAATAAAATTCTAGAAAACTCTTACATATGGGATTCAAATGACATGTCCTGATAAAAAAAAGAATAAAAATATTCAAGTCTTTCTCAAAGAATATTATGATCAACTGTATCAAATGCAGCACTGAGATCTAA